TCATCAAAATCATAAAGGATACTGGTCTTTAGGGGTTTTTGGTACTGTTTTTAACTGTTATTTTTTATTAGGGTAATATTAACTTCATAAAATTAATTGGGAAGTAGTCCCTCCTTTTTGTTTTCTGGAAGAAATTGTGCAGAATTTAATTCTTTAAATGTTTGGTAGATTTCTCCAGTGAAACCATTTGGACCTAGAAATATTAAAAGGGTAAGGAACATGTTTTTTTAATATTTTTTAGTGTTGGCAGACCTTTATTTTATTCATTTATTCATATGTGGTGCTGAGAAATGAACCCAGTGCTTCACACATGTGAGGCAAGCACTCTACCACTGAGCCACAACCCCAGCCCCAGGAACATGTTTTTTATTACAAGTTCAATTTCCTTACTAGTTGCAGAACTATTCAAATTACCTATTTCATATGGGATGAGTTGTGGTAGTTTGTGTTTTTTGAGGAATTGATCCATTTCGTTTAATTTGCCAATTTATGTGTGTAGAGTTGTTCATAGGGTATTAATTTCCTGTGGTTGTAGTAACAAATTAACACTATTTAATGATTTAGAACAACAACAAAAAATTTACTCTCGAACAGTTCTGGAAGCCAGAAGCTCAAAGTTAATATCAAAAGACTAAAATTAAGGAGTTGGCAGGTTGGAACACCTTCCAAAGTCTCCTGAGGATAATTTATTTCATGTCTTTTCCAGTTTCTGGTAACAACTAACATTCCTTGGTTTATGGCCACATCATTTCAACCTCTGCCTCCATGGTCACATTACCTTTATCTTATCTATGTGTCTGTCAAATCTTTTGTCTTTTTTTTTATTGGTACCAGGGATTGAATTCAGGGATACTCAACCACTGAGCCACATCCCCAGCCCTATTTTGTATTTTATTTAGAGACAGGGTCTCACTGAGTTGCTTAGCATCTCACTTTTTCTGAGGCTGGCTTTGAACCTGTGATCCTCCCTCCTCAGCCTCCTAGGTTGCTGGGATTACAGGCATACACCACCTCGCCTTGCTTCTGTCTCTTTCTTGTAGGGATACTAGCAATTGTACTTAGAGCCAACAGGGTTGATTTCTTTATCTCAAAATCCTTAGTAAGGGGGCCTGGGGTTGTGGCTCAGCGGTAGAGCGCCTTGCATGTGTGCRGCCCTGGGTTCGATCCTTAGCACCACATAAAAATAAAATGAAGGTATTTTTTAAAAAATTCATTTCCCTTAAAAAAAAAAATCCTTAGTAAGGGGCCGGGATTGTGGCTCAGTAGCWGACCTCAGTAGCAGCATGTGTGAGGCACTGGGTTCCATTATCAGCACCACATATAAATAAATGAATAAAATAAAGGTCCATCAACATCTATAGACAATTTTTTTTAACAAAAATCCTTAGTAAGGTGGCTCAATGGTAGAGTGTTTGCTTGGCATGCATGAGGTGCTGGGTTCAGTTCCCAGCAGTACACACACAAAAAAATCCTTAGTAAATCACATCAGTAAAGACCTTTGTTTTTTACTTTTTACAATACTCAACTCCACACCCGCTCCTTTTTCTCTCTCTCTCTCTGAGCTACATTCCCAGCCTTTTAAAAAGTTGTTGTTGTTGTTGTTTTGAGACAGGGWTTTACTGAGTTTCCTAGTGGGGAGTCAACTTGCAATCTTCCTGAGTTGACTGGGATGACAAGCATGTGCCACTACACCTGGCAAAGACTCTTTGTCCAAATAAAATAATATTTACAGGTTCCAAGGATTTGGGGAACTATCAAAGTTAAATAATGGCCTCCAAARATATTTCCCTATTGTTGTTTCCCATAGTGTTTTTCCATCATCCTTTTGATGTCTGCAGTGATATCTCTGATATCATTCCTAATGTTTCTCCTCTCTTTTTAAATGTGTCAGTTGTATGGGAGATTTATTGATTTTTTTCAAACAATCAGGTAGGTCCCTGTTCATCATTTTTTCTCTTGTTCTTTTCAGTTTTCTGTTAGTTTCTTTTTCTGATTTTAATTTCATGGATTTCTGTTCTTGTTATTTCCTGGCTTCTGGTTGCTTTGGATTTATTTATTTTTCCTAGGTTCTTGAGGTGGGAGCTTTTCTACTTTTCTAATGTGTGCATTTAGTGCTACAGATTTCCTTCTCAGCACTCCTTTAGTTATGTCCCACAAATGCCAATACATTATATATGTATATGGTCTCTGTCACTCGGTTCAGTGATGTTTTTGCTGTTTTCCTTTCAGTACTGGGGACTGAACCCAGGACCTCACGTGTGCTAGGCAAGTGCTCTACCATTGAGCTACATCAGCCCCAGTTCAGTGTTATTTTTAAACTTTTCTTAAGACTTCCCTTTTTCATTCATGGAATATCTAGAAGTTCACTGTTTAGTTTCTAAGGATTTGGAAATTTTTCTGGAATCCTTTCGTTATTAATTTCTAGTTTGATTCCATTTGGTTAGAGAATATACTAAATATGATTTTAATTGTTTTGATTTCATTGAAGTTTTTTTAATGACCCTGATTCTTGGTGTGATGAGTGATTTCCAGTTCATACCTAGACATTTTACATTACATTATGAAAACTCTATCTTCAGTTGTTTTCTCTGACATTGCTTCTGCAGGAGAAGGGGACATGTGTCATCTCTTTACTGCCAAATGCCATGTTACCCACTTGACCTCTGTTAATACCTGAAGGAGGGCATATTCCTCATTCCTGCTGGTTGGGGTGATTTCTGCCTCCCCATATGGTCTCAGCTGACTCTACGGTAGGAAGAGATTTTAACCACTGAGTAGTGGTAAAAGTCCTCCTTTCCACTTGGCCACTTCTGCAAATTAGTGGAAAGCAGGGAGGACAGCTCCTTACTGCCAGATAAAGGTAAAGAGAAGCCTTCCCATGCAATTTTCATTGACATGGAGAAGCTGTAACTCACCTGCAGAAATAAAAGTCCCTGATCTCTACGTGTCTTCTTTAGCAGGGCACCAGTGGGGGTGTCAGGGGGCTTTTATGTAGCCTCACCTTCAAAAGAGTGGAGGTCTGGGCTCCTCACTCACCCTTCACTGGTGTGGATGAGGCTACAATATTTCCWGTAGTGAGTGGCAGGAGTGCAGCAGTTATTGTCTGAAAACTCTCTGCCTTGCTGCCTTGCCCCTGTCCTGATCCTTTGGTTAGTGAGAACAGGCCTTGTTGAGACTTTTTTTCTTTTAATACTATTTAGTTGTTGATAGACCTTTATTTTATTTGTTTATTTATATATGGTGCTGGGAATCGAACCCAGTGCCTCACACGTGCTAAGCCAGCACTCTACCGATGAGCTACAACTCTAGCCCCAAGATGTTTTATTTTTATTTATTTTTTGTCTGCATCCATTGTTGTTTCTGGATTTCGATTGCTGCTCCAAGTCTTGGTTTTAGGAAACAAAAAGAAAGCTGAGAGAGCTCACCACCATGCTTTTCATTAGGTACCAAGGTCCAAAACCAATCTGCCTTAATTTCTGTACCTTTGCTAGTGGTTTTTGTTGTTGTTGTTTTTTGTTTTGTTTTGTTTTGTTTTTAGTACTGGGTGTTGAACTCAGGGCACTCAACCACTAAGCCACATCCCCAGCCCTTTTTTTATATTTTATTTAGAGACAGAGTCTCACTGAATTGCTTAGGGCCTTGATAAGTTGCTGAGGCCAGCTTTGAACTCATGATCCTCCTGCCTCAGCCTCTGAGCCCCTGGGATTATAGACCTGTGCCACTGTGCCTGGCTTCCTAGACTTTTTATGATTTTTTTTTTCACAGAGGGCAGGTACTGAGGATTGAGCCCAGGGGCATTAACCACTGAGCCATATTCCCAGTCCTTTTTATTTGTTATTTTGAGTMTGGGTCTCAATAAGTTCTTTAAGGCCTTGCTAAGTTGCTGAAGCTGGCTTTGAACTTGCAATTCTCCTGCCTCAGCCTCCCAAGTCACTGGGATTTACAAGTGCCTCACCACATCTGGCTTATACTTTTTTCAAAATAAATAATATCCAGAATTCTTGGCTGTATTTAGAAGAAGGAATAGAAAAAAATACAGATCCTTATCCTCTTAGATATTGAATTCTCTGTCTCCTTGGTTTTAAACAGTCCAAACTCAAGAGAGGTCAAGCAGAAAGCAATTTGATTTTTTTTTTCTCATACCAAATCCTTTCAGTTTAGCTGTGGCCTCATTCTTCCTCTGAATAAAATCTCAGGCAGATCCACAGCCTTTTGAGTCACTTTCAGCTATAAACATGAGGAGGGGAATGTGTTTTTATTAACATCAATATTCTAAACTCTTTTTCCAATTTAATTTTTTTACCTTCTCAAAACTTGGACCTACTTCAGGGCCTTCTTATGATGGAAAAATGAGGGGGTCTTTGCTTATTTACTTTTTCCCCCTTCTTATTCTTTTACTCCTACCCTATTTCTTCTTTCTTTCTTTCTTAACCAACCTTCCTTCCTTCCTTCCTTCCTTCCTTCCTTCCTTCCTTCCTTCCTTCCTTCCTTATTGAACCTAGGAGCTTAGACAAGTTAGGCAAGCACTCTAACACTGAGCCACATGCCCAGCCTTCTGGTACAGTTTTAATCACATGCTGGAGTTCTCTGGGTATAGTCAAAGGGCTCTTCTGTGTGTTTTTTTTTTTTTTAACTTACATCTGGTTATTATGTGGATTCAGAATATCAACAATTAGGCATCTTTCCTTATTGAGGTGTGAACTGCCCACACCCATTTCCATGTACACATTTATTTGTTTGTTTGCTTGCTTGCTTTGTTTTCTCATCTTGGGGGTTGAACCCAGTGTCTGATGCATGCTAAGCACATGTTCTATCACTGACTCCCCCCTCCAACTCTCTGCCTGCATTTTCTCCCCAAAACTCTTCCTGATTAGAAAGCCCCCTTCTTCCTCATTTAGCTAAATTCTGCCCTTTCTTTGAGATCCACATAGCACTTCTTCCTGGAAGCCTTCTATGACTATAACAACTTGCTTCTCTTTCTGCAAGATCCTCCCACCCACCTTTCACGATAGACTCTTGCTTCATGATGGCTAGTTTTATCTCTATAGTGGGCATTGTGCCCTTTGGAGTGGAATAGAGAACATGTTCAAACCAGACAGTCTGGGTTGAGACCCCAGATCTGGGGCTAACTAGCTACATGACTTTGGCAGCTTATGTGACTTCTCTGAGCCTCAGTCTTTTTTGCCTGAAAAATGAGAAAAATAATTGCAATATCACTAGTCGTTCTGAGGATTCTAATGATAAATACAAAGCAGGAGAGGGAACTGAGCAGTTGATAGGCATGCCATTCCCCCAAAGGGAGTCTTTTGGTTGTCATTGAATGATGTTGCCCATCAGAGTCCGGCCTGCTCAGGATCTTCCCACTGGGTTCAACCCTCCCAAAGCCCTTKGTACAGGGTCATGTCTCTCCCATCCTAACTCCTCCTAGGGAAGGTGAAGAATCATGCACTACAGCAGAACTGGAGATTTTAGGAAGTTAATGATTGTGTTCTGCTTCAGGTCAGAGGTGAGTGGGAAAGCCACTCCAAAGCCAAGACAAGCTGTTTCCTGGAAAAAGAAGACCACACTGAGCTCAGGGTGGCCTGAATCCTGCTTCATTTCCTGAACTGGCTCCTTAGCTGCTTATTGAATGGCCAATAAAGCAAAGCTTATAAAAATCGACACACTCAGGCTATATCACTGCCATGGTATCCAAGCACCAGTTAGTCTGGGCTTCCATTTGCTGATGGACAACATACCCTGAGTGGTGGGGGTGGGGAGAAAATGGGAATAATGTTCTCTAGAGACTTCTCTGTGTCCTCTGATGTAAATAGAGGTCATGTTTTCCCCAACCACACTTGTTATTTGAATTTCTTGGACTCAATGCATATTTTCCCTTTACCCTTTGTGAAGCCTTAGAAGTGTACATTGTCTAAAGAGTGATATAGTATACACGGAGATCTCCTCAAACTATGCAAGAGTTAAAGATGTGTTTAAGCTCTTCAGCCCATCTATTATGATCATAGACTTCCAAAATTTGAAGAGAAGAAAAAAAATCATAGTTCCCAAACCAGATATTTTTCCAATGTCCAGATGTTCAGTGGCATGCAAACCAAATGTCTGGATTATGAGCTCATTTTTTAAAATTTTATGTTTTTTCAACATACATCCAGATGCTAGAAACATCACCCAGGGTGCCCATTCCCCACCTTTCCTATTCTCTTCCTGATTACTTTTCACACTGCTTCCCACATTCTCCCATGACTCCCCTTCATGCTGCAGTAGGGATGATACAGTTCACATCCAGAAACAATGCTACCCTCCACAGGTGGGTTTATGAAGGCAGATCAGGAATATCTCTAAGGAAAAAATCTTGATCACTTAAAGCCCTACTTTCCCCAGCAGACCTTAGAGGAGAGCAAAATCAGGCCAGGGTATGAAGAAGGAGGTTCCAGGGGCTTCAGGAAATAAGGGCTAGGAAGTCAAGGGGGAGGTTAGAGGAGACCTATACCAGATCAGCATCTAGAGATCTAGAGTAGAGACACCTTCAGGTCCATAACCTTACCAAGGGCGAGAGCATAGAGGATAACTAAAGCATGAGCAAAGGACTTTAAATGAGAGAAAGAGAGGATGGAAATCAGGCGCAGGAGGAGGCACGACTTTCCCAGGTAGTGGGTCAGAGAACTGAGCACCCTCAGCCAGCTGGATTTGATTAGGGAGGACAACTTGATAAAAGACAGAATGCACCTTTCTTCCCCATTATAACAAGATGCTGTTGAATTCCCCTCSTTTGTAGATGTTCTACCAATGGAATGGTGGGCAGTCCAGAGTGGGAACAGAGAGCCCCTTCCTGTCTGGAGCTGGACATCCATCCTCTTCCTTGTCTCAAGACCAAAGTCCTCCCGACAGCTGCTTTAACTGCTGCCCTAGTTCTCTTCCTGCCTTTTCAAAACTCTCCCCACCCAGGTGGGGGAACCTGGATCCAAGGCTGTACCAGCTACATGGCTCCAAAGTTGGTAAGGAGGTAACCAGAAGCTGGACACTGGCTGTCTCCTAAGGACTGTACCCACTACCAGGAGCTGGACAGATGGACATGTTCCCACTGGACCACATGGTCCTCTGACGCTGCACATTTCCGGATACCAAGGACAGTTGTCATTGGGAATTTGACTCCTGGAGGTCAGTGGGCATCTGGGCCTCAGAAAATCCAAAAAAGGCAGAGGACCACTCTCTTCTCTGAGGCTTCCTGCTATAGAGTTGGTACTGAGGAGGGGGTGCCCACACTTGAAGGGCCAGCTAACACCAAATCATTATGATCTCTGTTCTGGGAATGAGGAGCTTCCTTGTTAAGGTCTGTAAATAAGTCAAAAATAACACCTGGTATTTTGCCAGAGAAATGTTAGAGTTCGTAAACAAGTCTGGATGGTGCCTGGCAAAATGCCAGAGGGAGTGGTTTGAAAGGTAACAAAAGTGAGCCATTAAGTGTGGAGATTCCTTATTGGTTGACTGATGTATCTAGTTTATGCTAATTAAGATAAGCTGTGCAAAATGTATAAATAGCTCTGTTGTCCTACAATAAAGGGCTCCCATTCCTGCTGTATCAACGTACACAAGTTATTCGTCACCCCCGGTTATTTTGCTGCAGCTGGCCTGCGGCACTTCCTCATCTCTGTCTGGCAGGTCCCTGGTAGGATGGGCTTGTCCCATCTGGGATGTGAGCCTTTTGGGGGGAGGCCTGACTTTGAGTTTCCCTCTGAGCCTTTCCTAGGCCTCTGCTTCTCCCTCTCATTCTGTGTCGTTCTTTCTTTCTTTTTTGTCTTTTTCAGTCTGCTATCCTCCTCCTTCCTCTCTTGTCTTCTTCATCTCTCTTCTCCTTGTTTATCTCCATCTTTCACTTTATTCTCTCACCCCTTTCTCCCTCCCCTCTCTGCTGCTGCCTGGCCCTCCATATATCAAGCAGAGTTTACAACCATCTTCAGAGGCAGCCCTGCCACCTGCCATAGGGCTGATGGGATGATGACAGTTCATGGATTTGTCATTTCATAAATGGAGGGACAGCATCAGGGACAGTCCCTGATGACTAAATCACTTCAGTTACCTTTTTTAAGAAAGAAAGGAAGGAAGGAAGGAAGGAAGGAAGGAAGGAAGGAAGGAAGGAAGGAAGGAAGGAAGGAAGGAAGGAAAGAAAGAAGGAAAGAAATACATTCTCATGGTTAAAAAAAAAAACTTGTAAAAATGCGGCTGGGAATGTATCTCAGTGGTACGGCACTTGCCTAGATGTGCAAGGCTCTGGGTTCAATCCCCAGTACCACACAGAAAGAAAAAATGGACTGTAAAAATGTATAAAGTAAACAATCTCCTCCCAAACTATCTTCATCTCTCCCATTTTCACTATTGTCCCATCCCCTTAAGGGGAAACCAGCGTGATTAGTTTCTTATATATCCTTCCAGTGTGCCTTTATGTAAATGAAATTTATTGTGATAACATACTCTTATTTCCCTCTTTTTTACACAAAAGATAGATGATCATAATCCCATTATCATCTTTTTTTTCTCTTAATGAAATCATGATTTCATTTACAGGTGTTTATTAAGCAATTATCATGTGCCAGACACCAAGCTGGGCACTACTCTGAAACATACAAATGAATAAGACATGATCCATGGAGTAAGGATCTGACAATCCAGTGACAGAGCCTGACAAGCTCATCCATGAGTAATCACAATACACAGAGCCAAATGCTTTAAAATTCGTAAAGCATGGAACAATGAGATCACAGAAGAGGGAAGAGATCAGTGCAGCCTTAAGGACTCAAGGTAGAAGTGGTGTTTGAGCTAGACTTTGAAAAATGGATGGGACTTTTTTTTTTTTTTTTTGGCAGGGGAGGTACTAAGAATTGAACCCAGGGGCACTCTACCACTGAACTACATCCTCAGCCCTTTTTATTTTTATTTATTTATTTATTTTGAGACAGAGTCTCACTAAGTTGCCCAGGCTGGCCTCAAACTTGTGATCTTCCTGCTTCAGCCTTCCAAATCACTGGGATTAAGGGCTTGTGCCACTGCACCTGGCAGGAACAGATGCAATTCCAAACACACAGAGTTGGGGAAGTGGGGTTTTGCCACAGTCCGGCTGCAGCAAAATAACGGGGGGGGGGGGGGGAAGAGCAATCTGCACAATGGGGATGAAAATTATCTCCCACATTATTAGAAGGATTAAATGAAACAACATTAGTAAAAACACTGTAAACAGACTTTGTAGTGTGGATTGTTAAAGCTAGAAAGGTAGATAGGAACTTGAACACTGAAGAATTTGGGATAAAAACAAAAGTGATTTCTATGACTGGAGCCAGAAGGAACAAGGTAGCACCATAGCATTTTACCAAATGTAAAAAGTGCCAAAATATATCACTAAAATCTTATGATTATCAAAAGTAACACAAATAAACTTTTACTTGATTATAAAAATGATTTATAGTTTTACTTTAGAATGCAGTTTCAGGGACTCTGTAACTGTATGATGATGTCTTTGAATCTATTGATTTATTTACTTCTGTTTATTCTTTTTTTAAATAGTTGCTCATGACAATACATTGATCTTGACATATCATACATTTGAATCAAATGGGGTATAATTTCTCATTTTTCCAAGTGTACAGGTTGCAGAATCACATTAGTTATACAGCCACTTTCTTTCAGCCAACATTTATTCAATACCTACTGAGTTACTCACTTTTGTTGGACTTATGGCCTTGAAGTGAAATTATTAAACTCCATAATATGAAGGTCCAGTGCATTCCATAACCTCTCTGTTGTACCCCAGTGCCTCTCTAGAACATCGTGAGGGCTGGGCACTGTGTTGCATGCCTGTAATCCCAGTGATTTGGGAGGCTGAGACGGGAGGATTGCAAATTCAAGGCCAGTCTCAACGACTTATCAAGACCTTAAGCAACTTAGTGAGACCCTGTCTCAAAACAAATAAGTAAAATTAAAAGGGGCTTGGGAATGTGACTTAGTGGGGGAAAAGTACCCCTGGTTCTATTCCCAGTACAGAAGGAGGAGGAAGAGGAGGAGAT